AAGCTGTCAGCACTGACATACCATCTAGAGAAGAAGTCATTAAAGCTGTCAGCACTGACATACCATCTAGAGAAGAAGTCATTAAAGCTGTCAGCACTGACATACCATCTAGAGAAGAAGTCATTAAAGCTGTCAGCACTGACATACCATCTAGAGAAGAAGTCATTAAAGCTGTCAGCACGGACATACCATCTAGAGAAGAGGTCATTAAAGCTGTCAGCACGGACATACCATCTAGAGAAGAAGTCATTAAAGCTGTCAAGTTAATGAAGAATGGAAAGGCCCCAGGCCCCGAAACTTGAATGCTGAACTGTTCAAGACTGCCCCAGAGCTCGCAGCTTCCATTTTAGAACCCTTATATAAGATATGATAGAAAGAATCATCCGTTTGTATGGGGTACCACTTAAGATGGTATATGTCATCAGAAGTTTTTATACCTTCTCACATGTAGTGTTGGAAACAGCGACCTCAGCTTCGAAGTCAAGACTGGAGTGCGGCAAGGGTGTGCCATGTCCTCTATCCTGTTTAACATGGTCATAGACTGGGTCATGAGGAGGACAACAGAAGACATACCCAGAGGAATACCTTGGACACTGTTCTCAGCGCCAGAGGATCTGGATTACGCAGTTGACATTGCTCTGATGTCTCATTCATACCAACACATCCAGGGGAAGACAACCCGACTTAACAACTTCAGTCAACTAACTCAAGATCAACCAAAGGAAGACTGAAGTAATGACCCTCAATGTGCAAGCACCATCACCAGTATGTGTAGAGGATACTGACCTCACAAGCACAGATACATTCACCTACCTAGGAAATACAATCAGCAAGGATGGAAGGGCTAGCAAGGACATGATCGCTAACAGATTGAACAAAGGCCAGATTTGTCTTCATAAGCCTGAGAGAAGTGTGGAAATCAGCACAGTATAGCATGCAGAACCAAGCTGCGTATATATACCAGAGCTGCATGCTATCAACACTTTTATATGGTTCGGAATGTTGGCGGATGACAGAGGAAGACTTGTCGAAATTGTCAACATTTCACACAACCAGACTCAGAAAAAATTCTGAAGATTTTCTGGCCAGGAGTAATCTCCAATGATGAACTGATGAGAGACAGTGCAACAAGGAGAGTATGAGAGACATTATCAGGAAGAAACAATGGAGGTGGATTGGACATGTGTTAAGGAAGGAAAGTGACTCCATCACAAAGGTTGCAGTACACTGGACTCCATGAAGGTAAACGGAAGAGAGATCGCCCCAAAACCACATGGCGACACACAGTGGAAACAGAGCTCAGTGACATGGATCACAGCTGCGGAAATTTTGAGTGATAAGCAAAGGATCGACAGGTGTGGAGGAACTTTGTTGCTGCCCTAAACGTCGACGGGCGTAATAGGCAGTAATTTAAGTAAGGAAGTAAGTATGCTACATTGTATGTGGAGATCTAGAATCTGGGTGACTACATATGAAGCTTAAATGAGTCTAGAGACAAAAAAGACTAAGGGAGACCTCGGAAAAGTCAAATGAGAATGTATTAGCCATACACAGCTAAACATGCTGAAAACGTTTTTGGGGCGAAACAACTTAGTGCAAAACGACCTGGGGCGTACAGGATTGCAATATAGGGTGAAACGATCGCGACCTGACACCATTGCAATATACACATGTAAAATATGAAGTAACTACTTACCTCTACCATTTATGCATTGCAATAAGTCATCTTGATATTTGATGTAAAATCAAGACTATTAATATAAGAATTATATAAAATTTGATATACATGTACAGGTGCTGGATGTGGGCACAATGTATTTTCCAGTGAGTTACTATATATGTATGTATTTCAGTATACGCGTATGTGGAGACTCATTTGAAAAAATAAGTCGTTACAAGTATCTGAATAGAAAAGGTAAACGTCCCTGATACAGGTAGATCTGTGTTGCTGTCAAACTAACACGTGGATTTGTTTACAAATTACCTCCCTTTACATTTACAGTCACCTCACCTCTTTGATGTCACCAATCGTTGTTCCAGCGAAATCTGTGATATTCACACAGACAAAATCTTTCCCCTCTGTTGCAGGGTTATATCTTGCTTTGTTTCTAACGAAGACATTTATGCTTGGCCTTCTCCAATACATCTTCTTCCATCTCCTCTGAATCCTCCTTTACATCGCGCGCGTTGGTTTAATTTCCGGTTCCGCAGTGAAGGCAAAAATAAAACTATAATTTGCCGAAAAAAAATATTTTCTCACAATGTAACATGTGCACCATCTTACTTATTAAGTACTCATATTTTTAGGGCTTTCTACCTTTTTCTTCTTAATTTTTAACTCCCCTTTGCTTAATTTTTGACTGACCCCTACCGTAAATGTGCTGATGAAAGATCTGCTTTTTAGGAGTTACCATAATAAATCTTTTCCATAATGAGAATGTTAGCATGCTTTAATTTTACTTTCGAATTATTTTATATTTTGAAGTGTATAATGGAGGTATTGGGTTGTTTTGTTGTTTTCTTTTTCTTTTTTTAATGACAGAGAAAGCTGAAACTTCAAACACAGCACGTAAACCGATCAGACGGTATTGAGATGAAGGAGGAGGGAATCGTCCCCGGGGGGAGGGGGAGGATGGATGTTTAAACATTGACGGCATGTCCGAGTCCGGTCTCCTGGACACTCCCCGATGTTTTTGCGAACAGAAGGAAATATCCCGTGTATGCAGAGACGTATATACTACATACGTATACGTCTCTGGTGTATGTCATCTATATATTCCCATGAGGGGCACCGAGCCGTAATTATATACGGTCGGTCCTCAAGACGACTTCCTCCAATCAACAGAGGGGCAGCCATTGACAAAATAAACAGAAGCGAGCAAGCTTAAGGCGCACCCCTTCTCTCCTTTCTCTACATTCTTTTTTCCTTTCTATTTTCCTTTTCTATCTGTTCTCGTCTACTGAAAGGCCACAAGACCGTAATATAGGACGTATAAGCAAGGCGCAACGAGAGAGGAAGGTAGCAGAAAGGAAAGCCAAGTTGACCAAAAGTTACGCCAGAGTCCAGGCAACTATGCATAAGACGCCACTTAGTGCATAAAAACGCACCCATGCGCAGTTTTAACTAAGCTAAATCGTATCGCAACGAATAAAAAAATGTCAGCAATTTCATTTGCACTTATAAATTTCACTAAATTGCTGTCATTTTTTTTATTCGTTGCGATCCAACATTAGTTGTTTCGCTATATTAAAACTACGACAAGTCATTGTTTCTCAAGCCTTCGATAGGGATCGAACCCCGATCTGCTGGTTCACAAGTTTGCTCTACGTACCGGTTATGCTTAGGGACCCTGTCCCGCTGCACTGCCGTTTTCCTATATACCGTCCATGGTTCGAATTCCGGTCTGTCCCCGCAGAATATTTTTACACTCATAACACGTCTGTTGATTACATTGTGTTTACTTCATTTCCATAATGTTTCATAAAAGATACGTTTCTTTTCAAAAATGATTTGATCAAAGCTATAGTTATGCCGGAAAAATAAGTTTCGAATGTATAGTTTCATTTTTGGCAGTAGTACGGGGATCCTTAAGAGAAATTCTCCCTAACCGTTATGATATGTTCATCAATTTATACGACATATTTCTCATGTTCAAACCCATGTCAACACACCAAGATCCCCAGAAGCATATGGCACTTTATGGTATCCTTGTGTCACTCCCCTTGTGTGGGGTTATTATGGTATCCACGGTGCAGGGACCTGAGAATTTGTTGCATCTATGTTTTGACCGAAACTATAAGGTGTTCAGAGTAAGTTTACATGATTTAGGGGTTTAGATCGACTTTCGGTAAAAATGACACCCCGATGAGTTTAGGTCCAAATACAGCGGTAACAAACAGGTCCCTGTGATGGTATCAGGGTTTTTTCCAGGTATACTCAGCGCGCTAACATCAAGGCCAACAAGAGTGATTAATATTGTTGAATAAAAAACTTGTTTCATAATTGTTGTAAAATGAATATTTCTTATAAAGGATGCCCCTCGTCGTCGCAGCAACGATAATGTATACCAAACTGTCAACAATAGTATCAGTAGCGACTAGCGATTTTGAACTAAATGTCGGGATGTGTTATTTCAGCACCTTAGGCGTTTGTTTTTTGTTGTTGCGCTAAAAACTGTATCGATTTGTAGACATATGGAATAAAGTGCTGGGAAATGCTCTTTCAACATCTTATGTTGATTAACTTTAATTTAACTGTATTTATTTCTGGTAATATAAAATAACTGTTATATACAATCACGGAATTAGATTGTTATCTAAGTCCGTGATACAATACATAATTAGCAACGATTCAGAAAAAGTGCAAAGTACTTATATAATAATGTTAGATCTATAATGTCCGTTTCGTCGACTTTATTTCAACTTTATTTGTAACGTGATTTGTTTGTGTTTTGTTTTTGTTTTTGTTCATGGATAAAATAGAACTCTTCTTCATTGCAAAGCAACAACCAAATTTTATTCAAAAATTCATACCGGGTAAAATATTTATCGCAATATTTTTTTTCTTACCTTTAATTAACCTGCAAGTCTTGAAGAAAAGAAACTAATCTTTTACTTATTTTTCCGTTATTATTAGAAAACACATTTGATAACTTCTTTGGGTAATCGATTTAAGTTCATACATGTTTGTAGTCGGTCATACATTTCAATAAAGACGTTTCAAGTACATGTATACTAGGGACCAGCTGTTTTTTGAGAATTACATGTGTGTGAAAATTTACATATATTTGTGTGTTTCTTTTCACTAGATGATTATTTTAAGTCTTATACTTACATCTTTAGTTTTGAATTTCAAATCTTTTTGAAAATTAACTGGTTTAAAATTGTGCATTAAGTTGTTGTTAAGCTAGCTGGGCACATGCATATGGCTTTATTACGGTACCTTAACGATAACGGAGTGAATAACAAGCGACGCTCTGATTGGTTAAGTGGATGTAAACAGGCGCGAGTTGTGAATGTAGCGTTTTGCGCCAAAGTTACACCGGTGTGGAGTCCTCTGTTTAGGCGGCGAGCGGTAAACCTAGCTAGCAAGTATGATTGGAATTCAGCAGCTGAATTTGGGTGAGATAAATTAATAACATAGAAAAATACATTTCTATCTGGAAATAGTTTTTGAAATCGGCTATGCGAATGCACTGATCGCATCGACAGAAAGTTCAATAACATCGTCTTGCCTACTGCAGCCTGCTAACGTTACTTAGTAACACAGATTGTGGGGGAAATAATCCCCATTTACGAGACTACCATGAAAAACTGATAGCCTCGCATCCTGCAGCTTCATGAAGTGCGGGGTGATGCTATTGGAACGAAAATTCCATCATAAAAGATAATTATCAATTCCGTTGGGCGATTATAATTTATATTAATATGAAATTATATTTGACTAGGCCTATATCTCTTCAAATTTTGTTTAAAAGAGGTGAGAGTTTTAACATTTGAGCATACTTCCAGTCGGGTCCATAAATAAATTCTATAATTAAATATATTATCCTTTTCAGAAAATCGGGAGAGATGCCGAGCTGTTTTAGATGGGCCTCAAACAAAAGACTCCATCACTGTAAGTTTAAGGAATTTTCACACCATATCTGGTGGGAAATTCATCTGGTGTAGCTCAGCTGCGATAATTTAGCTTCTAACGAACATCACACATATACAAATGTGTGATATTATACTTATCTATCTACAGTCAAACCTCGTTATCTCGAAGTCAGCGGGGTCGTGGGAAAACTTCGAGTTGTGCAGTTTCATATATATTTGACATGAAATTGGCTGTTTGGGAATAGCACTAGCAGTCGTTGATTATTATTAATAGCCAATGCTTATAATCAATCGATGAATGATATACGTAATCAATATTACAAATACAGGTATGTAGTTTTACAACAAACACGCTTTCAAAAGTAGAGTAATTTTTTTCTGAAAAAAAATATTTTCGTTTAACGAGATAAAAACGGTAAGATCATATTGTGAATTCATTATGAAATGTGGCTCGCCTAGTGATTAAATGTTGTTTTGGGCTAATCATGGCAAAGTATTCCCAGGTCTGCATTTGTATTTGCATGTCCGTTTGCAAGTTTTACCTCTGAAGTGTTACATTTGAAAATCGAACTATCCCTCTGTCTCCTTGTACAATACAATGCGGAAATGAAAGTGCACAAATCTGAAACAAATCACTGTAATGGAGCGTACGCGTAGTTGATTCTTTAAAAGTAATTACAGACAAACAGATTATATCGTACCTGTAACAAATTGATTATTAAAGCCAAATGTGACACCTGTCACACTTCCTCAACTCGATGTAATCAACAACAATTATCGTATTGTTCTCGCGATTGTCTTTCAAAGTCATACTGGCTCCAATAAAAACATGAACCCGTGAAGCTGTCCTAGTTTGTGATTTTAACTGGAACTCAAGCTCTTTTACCATGACCACGCTTTGTGACCAAATCATTTAACGAACTCGCAGTAAGTACAGAATACTGTTGATCAACATTGATGAAGTTTGGTTTTTATTATGAACAACATGGTTTTGACAGTCCGCACACTTTACAGTCTTAAGCTTTATCATCAATTATTTTTAACGATTTCATGCTGGTCTACTCACGAAAGATTTTCATAAACACAGAATGGAAAGATGCCGTAGTTTTTCATTTTATTTGTATAGGAGAATTGTTAAAATGACCAAATGAAATTCGAACACTATGAAGTAGACAATGTTTTGGTGTGGATTTACGCTGTTGAAACCAATATCTTACTTTGAGGTATCCAAGTTTTCAGGGTTCGAATTATCAGAGTTTTATTTACTAAGATAAAGAAGAGATTTGGCTGGGACCGAAGAAATACTTCGAACTTAACGAGGTCTTTGAGTTATAAGAGTTCGGGATAACGAGGTTCAACTGTATATATGTTATACTCAACAGAGACCAAAATGGCTTGAATGCTTTAAACCTATTTTTAAACATCATTACTCTTTATGTATATGAATTGCCACATGTACAGTGTTATACACACTATTTCATGACAACATCACTGTTCAGTTAGGATGTTTATTGTTGCGGCTCATTTCTGTGTCATATATTATCCTAGGCCTGTGGATCATATTTTTCATGATCACGTTATATTATTGACTCATGAAATCGCCAAAAAAAACAACTCCACGGAAATATCCTGCCGTGCAGTGCAGTTATAACTAGGCTATGGAGGACAAGCATTGTGAAGAAGCACCATGCACCATAAACTTCTCTGAAATTTTATTTTCGGCATGTGTTGAAGGCCTGTTTCCCTGAAAAACATAGCTGAATATTTCACACATTTTCCGATCAAAAAGTTACAGGCCTAGACCATTGTGAAGAGGTTATAGTGGCGACACAAAGAAGCCAGTGACTTTGATAACATTGGCGTCCACTACTGTGTCAATCAATTTAATGATGGGCAATCGGTTTAAAATCATAAACAATAATCGGTTTAATTTATAATCGGAAGTGGTAAATCGACTGATGATCAATTGCATTATCAGTATATAATTTTTGGGGACTGAATACCCAAATAAAGTGAGTACACTATTATTACATCAATAGACAGAGTTGTTCATTACTATACAGTAGGTTTTTGTTTTTTTGTAATGAATGAATATCAAGCAACTTTTATGCATTTTCATCAATCATATAGTATTATCATAACAATATATGACTTTCAAAGCATAATTTAATTTACATGGAAGACATTTAAATAATTTTATTTCAATGATGAACAGATTAAATCAATTATGGAATTTGTAATCGATGATCGGATTCAGAAAGGGCGAATTGAACCGATCAATTTTCGATTATAATTGATCAACAGCCCATCACTATCAATCATATCCTAACCTTGTTCTCGCAAATACGATTGTACACTCCTCGACACGTCTAGGATTACACTCTCTTTGGCTGCTCTCTAGATCTGCATCCCTGGAATATGTCATAGCAAAATTGAAGGCACACATGTACAGCTAGCTATTTGTTTGGTCTCGGTTTTTAAAAAAAGCCAGTCAATTTTATTTTTACCAACATGATATATAGTAAGTTGTATTCTGGATATTATTATATGTTATTCTTGTTACAGGTGGCTGTGGAGGGAAATATTGGGAGTGGCAAGTCTACCTTCTTGCAATACTTCAAAAAGTTCCCTGAAGTTGAGGTAACAGTTGGTGTTAAGCAATGCAAATTAATTTGGAGCTGAAGAAAATATTTTGTTGTATATATGTATTTGTAATTGTTTGTTGATTCCCCCCACCCCCTTTAATGTATATGGTATACGTACATGACTTAAAATATTAATGAAAGCAAACAAATCTTGTTTTCAAGTTGAGATATTCCTTAACTTAAAAACAAACCAAAAAGCAAGCTTTGATATAAATATACAGGGCTTTACATGGTCCAATTGAGTCATAACCACATTTTTGGCACATAGCATATACCAGCTGGATATGTACAAATGTATCTTCTGCATAATTATATAAAGAAAATGGATAAAATCACAACATACTCAAGCATCACTAGTTAGTGGATTTTAAAGTTTATTTGGCCGACTAGTTTTGCCTCTAAAGTTGAGGCTTCATCAGGACTAGTCGGCCAAATAAACTTTAAAACCCACTAACTGGTGATGCTTGAGTATGTTGTGATTTTATCCATTTTCTTTATATGTGCCTTTATTCTGTAATCGCCCTAGGCCTGCATACCTCTTTTGGTATCCGTACTCAAAGCGAAGCGCCCACTGATCAACTAACAAACCTACAGCTAACATTGGCTCTATTACCATATTTTACTTCTACATAATTATATGCATAATATTGATCCATATCCACATTTGAATTTCTAGGTTAAACGTGATTATTTTGATACATTGACAGGTGCTTCCAGAACCAGTCAATAAGTGGAAGGATGTCCAAGGATTTAACACACTGGTAAGTTGGAAATTGTACTAGAAAACTAAAATACCTTTGTTGGTGACGCTTTGAGTCCTGCCTAGAAAGCACAATTAGTAGGTCTTCAGTTAAAAGTTTGAAAGCTTTGCATTCTAATTCCTCTTTGACAAGATTGCAATGTCTCAGAAAGTTGTTTGTTTCCAGGAGCAGTACTGATTACAGGGCCAGGTAAGGGTCTGCTGTGTATTTTTCAATAGGAAATGTAGGGTTTGTCACTTTATAACCTTTGGAAAAACATCCTCAAAACAAAAACAGGAGGGATACAATCTGTTGAAATGCCCAAAGGACTTTTTCTAAAGAACAGAAAGCTGGCCAAGAGTCATGATGTATGCTGAAATATAGTTCTAGGAATTCGAAGTTTGTGAAAAGACAGGCTACTTAAATTAGGAGAATATATACAGTGGCTTGTATCAATTTTGGTAAAATGATGCATTTTTTGGTTGCAGAAGCAGCCTGTTTTTGTTGTTTTCAACTGTGAAACAAGACCTGTAATATTGCTTAATATGTATATATTATCCTGGTAAAAATTTAAGTTGTTTGTTTGAATGCTTGGTAGGATCTGATGTATAAAGATGCCTCCCGCTGGAGCTTGGCATTCCAGTCCTATGTACAACTCACCATGGCAGAGGGCCATAAAAAAAGCAAGGTTTGTATTTTTATGCAGTATTCCTGACTATTCCAGCAGTATCCAGTCCTGTCAGAAATTACCAAATTTATGCGTAGTTTGTAATATATTTCATCAAATTTTACAAAATAATAGTAGACTGAAAAGGATATTCATACATATACATACAGAGTGTGTACCCTGGTATACGGTTTTGAGATTAAAATGTCAGGATTGCATTGACCTGTTTTGTAAAACAAAATTTCAAACTTTGAGAAGAGTACTTTCTGCCTTGGATCTTGAAATGATCGATGTCTTGATTAACAACGCTCAACAGCATTAGCTTATAAGTGTTTCCTTTGTTTCAGAGTAAGAGTGTGAAGATGATGGAAAGGTCACTGTATAGTGCCAGAAACTGCTTTGTAGAAAATCTCTATAAAGGGTAAGACTGCATATTTACAACTGAATCTATCTAATTTTGTTTGGGCTCGGTATTAAATAGGGCTTTAAAGATATATGCCCCCGGTAGGTTTTATTGCTCCTAGGTTAAAAACGGTATAATTTTTACTAGTCGAGAATGTTAATGGTCCATTGTAATCCTCAGGTGAACATCACAGTTGAATGATGTCGATAACAGCAAAATCATCTGCAAGTTTGAAGACAGTTTTGTTGTGAGGTTGAGAAAAAGTATATTTCAATAATTTGTAGCTATAATCCAGCCATTTCACAGGTTAAGGCAATACAATTATCATATATATATTTTGTATTGACCCACAATATTTACGTAGCATCAAACTCAATGATAAATAAAAAATACTTGCGATACAATATATGCAATGAAAGGCTATTTAAAAAAATGCGGGTGATTTATTTGCTTGCACATAAAATCAATAACACAAAAATAAAACAAAACTTGGTTCCTTGCAATTTTTTCTGACACACGACTTGATACAAAAATAGAACTGATGTGACTATTGATGTATCTTGTTATTTCTACAACTCAAATGACTAAAGAGAATTTCGATTTTATCTGATGCCATGTTGTGTACATTACTATGGTGCTGCTGTTAATTCAGTGTTTTTTCTTCCTTAATTTTGCAACAGCCTGTTACTACATGAATTTGGAAAATATAGCATTATGTCTATTGAAATTGGGAAGAGATTCCTCGTCTTTTCTTCATTTTGGAAAAATAAAGCTTTTTTTTTTGTCAGAGGAAGCAGCCTGCATTCTGTTGTAAAACTTGGCTAAAAGTCACTGTAAAGTGTACATACTCATCACAGTATGATTGATGTTATTCTATTGACCTGTCTTTGTACATCTAGTGGCCTGATGCCTGAGGTTGACTATGCCATTCTGTCAGAGTTCTATGGATGGATAACAACAAATGAGGACACCAATGTAGATTTGATCGGTATGTTACCGTAAAGTAGTAAAAAAAAAAAGGTTTATGAGTGTATTTTTGGTTAAGGAACTACTGATTCCTTAGTTTTGGGTTCATCCCATGGAAATTATCAAATTTTATTAGGGTGCCTCAATGATCAATCTTCAATTTATTTTCATGGGTCCTTTTCAGCTGTATTGCTAAAATTATTGGGTCCCACAATCTAAGTATTTAAGTATTTCCAGAAATTCTACGAGACTCGTCAAAATTCTGAGTATATGTCTCGGAACTCATGTAGATTTATCACTGGTGCCTTCTTTATTCTCTCGACCACAACAATTTTTAAGAGGAATGTGCTTGTTAGACAAAGAGGTGACAAGATTCAGTATACAACTTCACAAGAGTTATTGATAGTAATGCTGCCGATGAAAACAATGAAACCCAGATGATGTCTCGTCAGTTGTCATGTCTGTGACGCTTAGAATATAAAATCTGATGATAATCATTTGTTTTCATAGTGTACTTGCGTGCAGACCCAGAAGTGTGTCAGAGCAGGATTCGGTTGCGGAACCGACAAGAGGAGCAGGGAGTCCCAATGGTGAGACTAGAATCTAGACTCCTTACATCTAGGAAAACATGTGTTTTCTTTTTTACCCTGTCAACCTTAAATATACATATCTTGTGTATCCTACTAAGTTTTTCGTTACCCACTGGAGGGGACTAGACGCCGTCTGCCAGTCATGAACACATCACTTTGTCTGGGGCATATCTCATATACCCCTCGTTACTTACAATTACTAAATTTTTGTATGTGAGTATTATTTTAAGTCTTTGGATAGTGGATTGTCGCAGACAGGAATCTAGTCTCGTGCCCCATTACAGGGCTCAATTGGGGTAGTAGTTTCCAATTTTTACTAGCCCAAATATTATTCAACAGGATAAGCAATATCAAATTTTGGCTAGTTAACTGGGCTAGCCGTTTTTAGAATCACTAGTCCAGCTGGAGATTTCACCAGTTTCGGACTATCGTGCTCCCGTTATTGTCTAGCCCTGCATTATTTGCAGATCTTGAGTTATTGCTGTTTTGCAGCAGTTGTTCACTTTGCCTTGTTTTATTGAGGACTATCTAAACCCATTGCACACTGCTGCACTGTAACCCACTAACAGCTGATCATTCATTTTAATTGTAGGAGTATCTAAAGTCACTTCATGCACTACATGAAGACTGGCTCATAGACGAGAACAAGTTCAAGTTGCCAGCTCCTCTCCTTGTAAGTATTAATGCAAGGTTCAGCCAAGAAAATCATTATGATAAATCACTGCTGTAGAAAAATGTTACTGTATACTGGGAAAATCTTTTGGATTTTTAAATGGATTTTACTGTCAAAGGGCGAAACTTTTACTGGGTGTAAATTTCTCTATATACAGTACTTTTTCAGTTACCGTGGACTAATCAGTTTATTATTTTCATAGTACAGTAGGAAATCACCTGCATATTATAATTGCCATCTCTGTGCCCTGCACTTCAGGTAATTAAATTAAATTGACACAGAAACTTTCAATAACAATTTTAGTTACAAAAAAAATAAAAATTGCTCAATGAAAACTAAACAATTGACAGAGGACAGTAAATAGCATGAACTCAGTAAGTCTCTTTATTTCATTCAGTGCTTTATGTAAATTAAATGAGCCTACCAGAGTGAAAATCGTGAAAATGAGACCAGCACGTTGTTAATAGGAGAGTACGCTTTCCAGGTAAAATACTTCTTAATAACCTGATTCTGACCGATTCATTTACACCTGATTTAATAATATTTAATGTGATTATAACTTTTTTTTCTCCCAGGTGATTGACGCAAACAGTGACATCAGCCAGTTGTATACAAAGTTTGAAGAGGCAAAAGAACAGATATTTGCTAAATTATCATGATAATTAATTAAACTGTTCTTTGTTTAAATCAGTTCAATGTTAAAATTACAGTACCCCAAATGGGACCTGTTTCTTTTTCTCCCAAATTATGACAAGCAATACATCAGACATAACACTTATTAACATTGAAAGGAATATCGTTTTACAATGAAATTGAATGCTCAATATTTAGTTGGGGGAGATGTTAAGATATTTTTATCGTCAGATTTTTTGTATGTGAAAAGACCATGCAAAAGTTGACAATATTTTTGATCATTCATATTTCTCTATTTTTTGTATTATATGATATATATATTAGGTGCACTGAAGTATTGATTTACTGCATTGGCATACAAGTATTTTTTTGATAATCAAAAATCCAAGCTAATATCATTAAAAAAATTACTTAAACATCAACATCATACAGCTCTTGTTTGTCACATTTTGGGTACTGTAGTATTATAATGTAAAACCTGACTAGTCCGAATTCTTTGGTTTGTGAAAAATGTGACGCAGTGGTACCACTACCTCCTTCATAGTCTGGACAGACCTATGACGATTTTCCAAAAAAAATAAACATACAGTAATAGTTTTATGGAAAATGACCTGTGTAATGTGACATTATTGAGGTTCTACTGTATATATATGCATGATATTAAATTGTGCTTAAACTTTTAATATTTATTTACTACAGTCCATAATGCAACACCGCTTTTTATATTAGGGCTGTTCCATAATTATATAGTGGTGGGGGAGGGGAGCACATGGTCTGCTTACCATACCTTATATTAAATTACTTAATATTTGATGGGTGTTGGGATTTCTAAAAAGAGTGCCTTATACCCCTCCCATATATATGGTTATTTCTGGAACAGCCTGTATCAATATTTAATCCATTCTGAATCTCCTTTTTCAAATGCAAGAAGTTGGTTTTATTGTTTATTTTGAAGTTCATTTTTTAAGAGTCCATGTTAAAAAACACATGTACATGTATATCATTATCCATAAAAATTTACAGGTTGACAATTTTATGTTAACTTTTATTTTTTACTTCCTCAATCTTTTCTGAATGGGACATGTTAGTTTTATCAATTTAATTACCTGTTAATTTGGATTACTGCTGATTTTTTGCAAAGATTTTACTCTTCAAAAGATATAGAGCATTTTATGGTTATTTTTCATGTATCAAAGAAGTTATCTAATGTGAAAAGATCTGATGAGGTCTCTTAAATATCAGTTTTCCTTGTTTTATTTCATGGATAATTTGATGTTAAATGAAATTGTTGCACACATTTTTTTTGGTAAATTCTGTTAATTTACTGCTTTCAAAAGTGCTCTTATAAGAAATAACACCAGAAGGAAATGAAATAAAGAGAGAAGGTATTGTGTATACCAGGTACATATGCAAATAAGAAACAATGATCGACTCGGATATATTCTGTGAATATATTGTATATATTGATTCTGTTTTATAGATAAATTTGTCTGTCTACATGTACATTGTAGTGCTATTAGATAACTTTTATGTATATGAATGTAGCATTTTAGTTGTTACAGTATTTTATTTTTATTTACAATGACGAAAACATGCATATCATCTGTTATGCAACCACTTTTCATTCTTCCCAACCATTTTTACAATGTTATTTAACTGTATTAAGCGACCATCTGAATAACGCAACCAGCGACCAGCAAATTCTGACCCCAAATATTACGTTAAACGACCACATTTGAAACATTTTTAGCGATCATGTAAATATATGTGATACCATGTCATGTTATGAACCTCCTTTTCCAGGAGAGAAGTATTCAGCCTGTTTAACACCTCATCAGTGGTATAAATATGTTCTTGGTCAAATGGTTTACAACACAATGGAAAGGGTACAGGTTATGATATCACTTAGGATTTTGAAGTATTAATCCTCATCTGTACTACCGGATTGGACTAGAGGTTTTTACTCTGCTCATCCCCCTTCAGTGAGTCACCCTGTCCAGGGTATACTGTATTTGATATACCCCGTCACCTGTAATTACCAAATTTAGTATGTTAGCATCTTTCAGGAAGGGGGAGTGTCGCATACTAATCAGGTTTCATGCTCCACTATATGAAGAGTTATGGCCCTTTTGTTTATTTTGCTCTGATTTGTCCGGGGCTTATCTCATATTCTCTATCAGTGACTCAACAAATTTTGCATGCAAATATCTTTCGGGATAGGAGAGTATCTTTTACTACAATCTGATCTTGTGTTCAACTTTATAAAGTCGGGGTCCTTTGTTAGTTTTTGATACCATATTTCGTCTGGATGTTAGGAAAATGCATTTTTTGGTAAATGTACATGTAATACTGAAGGATTCTTTGAAAATAAGTAAAGAATGTAAGTATTGATACCACTCTGGTAGGACAAGTTCACTCGGACACAATGAAGATAATCTCTGTCCAGCTTATATATAATGCTTATATCGCTGTAAATTTGGTTATTTTAGTGGCAGTGAGTCACCCTGTCCAGGGTATACTGTATTTGATATACCCCGTCACCTGTAATTACCAAATTTAGTATGTTAGCATCTTTCAGGAAGGGGGAGTGTCGCATACTAATCAGGTTTCATGCTCCACTATATGAAGAGTTATGGCCCTTTTGTTTATTTTGCTCTGATTTGTCCGGGGCTTATCTCATATTCTCTATCAGTGACTCAACAAATTTTGCATGCAAATATCTTTCGGGATAGGAGAGTATCTTTTACTACAATCTGATCTTGTGTTCAACTTTATAAAGTCGGGGTCCTTTGTTAGTTTTTGATACCATATTTCGTCTGGATGTTAGGAAAATGCATTTTTTGGTAAATGTACATGTAATACTGAAGGATTCTTTGAAAATAAGTAAAGAATGTAAGTATTGATACCACTCTGGTAGGACAAGTTCACTCGGACACAATGAAGATAATCTCTGTCCAGCTTATATATAATGCTTATATCGCTGTAAATTTGGTTATTTTAGTGGCAGTGAGTCACCCTGTCCAGGGTATACTGTATTTGATATACCCCGTCACCTGTAATTACCAAATTTAGTATGTTAGCATCTTTCAGGAAGGGGGAGTGTCGCATACTAATCAGGTTTCATGCTCCACTATATGAAGAGTTATGGCCCTTTTGTTTATTTTGCTCTGATTTGTCCGGGGCTTATCTCATATTCTCTATCAGTGACTCAACAAATTTTGCATGCAAATATCTTTCGGGATAGGAGAGTATCTTTTACTACAATCTGATCTTGTGTTCAACTTTATAAAGTCGGGGTCCTTTGTTAGTTTTTGATACCATATTTCGTCTGGATGTTAGGAAAATGCATTTTTTGGTAAATGTACATGTAATACTGAAGGATTCTTTGAAAATAAGTAAAGAATGTAAGTATTGATACCACTCTGGTAGGACAAGTTCACTCGGACACAATGAAGATAATCTCTGTCCAGCTTATATATAATGTTTATATCGCTGTAAATTTGGTTATTTTAGTGGCAATATTAGTTTAGAATTTTCTTGCTAATTTGAAAGCATTTAATTGTTTAACTACCAAATATCACATCACTTTTTCTGCTTGTTATAGATAGCCTGATGTTAAATTATTATGCATTTTGACAATTATGCAAAGGGTACCTTTAGCTGTGGCATGTAAAATACTGTTAGTACATGTGGCGGAAGATAGGAATTAATGTACATTATGATTTGTTTAGTACATTTAGTCATAGTATTTAATAGGGTATTTGAGAAAGGTTCGAGTGCGGCGAGAAAGTTTTATTATCGATATGTATATCCACAATCTAATTAAATTAAAATTAATATTAAAATCCAGACAATCAATGTCTTGACGATGCACTACAGTGAAGGATGAACGTAAAATGCACACGTTTTAATTTGGTAATACATTTTTGGTTAGTTAAAAAAGTATCTTTATTTTACAATCTTCTTCGTAGAGCCTCGTCACTTAGGCATTTGACTAAGTTCACTTCAGGTTTTGAGGGCTGAAAAACGTCAGAAAATACGTATTCTGTTTATGTCATGTTTCTGTTAATATGTTTTTCTCTGACAAATGGGAAGTGATATTAAGCGAAATCTACTGTATATACATTATGTCGAAAGTGGATTACAGTGCATATGTTCCATATGTTCAGTGGTGAAATGGGATAAAAAGAGAAATGGTGTGAAGGGTTTGATTGGTTTAATCCATCACAGCAGTTAAGTCATGGCACTTTTAACAACCTGGCTCTAGACCTGCTGTCATTTTTACTACAGCTACTAACATCCAAATTCCTTTTATATAAGGACTGGAGATTACGGTAAAAGATCAATTTTCTGGTGTCGAGGATCGTTGGTGTGCATCATCTGCGGTAAAATGTAGTTAGGGATATACAAAAGTTGGTGATATGGGGAGGATGGAGGCATTTGTATTTAATGTGTTTGTTATTGATATGTAGTATTATAAGTGGTGGGGTCGAGTCCAGATACATCTCCTATTCATTATAAAATCAATGGTGACCGTGCTTCTGAAAAAGTGCATTCCATTCCTCCCATAAAATTCTGAAGAAAAAATGGATATGTATGGGAGTAACGTCAGTCTTGTGTGAGAGTTTTACCAATGTTTGTGACCAAAATAAAAGTGGGAGTTAAAATAATGTCACACTACCTGTGAAAGAAATGTTTAAATTTTATTTTAATATTGAGATCAAACTTAAACTTAAATAAGGCAACTAAAATGTCAAATTGCTGCCATTATTTTATCTCTCTGTGCACGCTTCTCTGTGATAAAGCAAATTGAATAGGAGTGGGAATGAGCCTGAGTGGATGAAAGATTGTAGTGTTGTCTAAAATTAATCCTATGCGGCATGAATTTAACATTAATCTTTATACACGTGCTGTAATATTGACCAATATATTGAAAAAACAACAGTATTTCTGAATGGCTCAATTCAGTTGTCTTGGTTTTAATAAGAAGGCTTGTCCTGATGTTGATAGATCTGTTTAGTTTATACTGTATTTGATTATGTGAGTTCATGTTCAAGATTTAAAAAAAAGTATGATAGAAATTGTTTTATCACTACATCCATAGCCATTTATGTTTTTAATATTTTCTCATATTTTGTAGATCTGTGACAAGTATTCATTTATTGAATTTAGTGGAATGAACTTCAGTGAGTTTTGTAGCTATGGTTCCACAAGTATGAAAAGTCTTTATATTTGCATCATTTAAATAATCCAAAACTTACATTCGTTATTTAAAAGAAAAGAAAAAAGACACAAAATGAAAGGGGAAATGGCATCTTTTAATAATAATTAATTGAATTTTAATTAAATTTTAAATAAAGTTAGGTTATTGCATGTTTCATGTGTGATGTCACAGTAGGTAACTTATATATCACAGGTTACATTTTATTTTTTTAAATTAACCAGTTAAAACAGCTTCATCACATGATGACAAAAATATACAGTACATTGAATACAGAAAGGGACATGCGGAGTGTGTATTATGAATCATGCAAATTTTCAATGGTAAATACAAACCAAGCCTATACAGTTGTATTGATATTGTGACCATTGTTGTCTGTACATTTCACACCTATCACCAATGCATGTATAGTACTGTCTTAGAATTTTGATCACATTATCATTATTTTTAAAGTGTACAATAGTTAATTCATCAGTAGATATACAATGTAATACCCTTCTTAAGGCAGCTGCTTTGTCCCAACAGCCTCTGCTATTGGATTTATACAATACATGTAATATTAAAAGTACATTTAAGTTGTGACATATGTTGTCCTCGTGTCATTAGCTCACTTGGCAGGAAGTTCATGTGAGCTTATATGCTGCAATGTCCATCGTCCTCGAGCATTCTACTTGAGGAATTTGAAGGTGTCGCCCTCACATAGGACATTGCCAAATGGGACAAGGGAACTGGAAGAACTGCTGGCTGAGGCTCTTTATTATGAACTTGGTTAAGATTGTAATGGAGAGACTTGGGGAATATTAATAAGTTACAGCTGGTTGGGGGGTGGTCATTATATATGTTGTCAGTGTTTTACCTAGGGTAGAACTGAAACCCAATTACTTGAACTTGTAATGTGAAAGTAAGGGTAATCCTATGATTAGGGGTGTAACGATACAGCAAAACCCATATTGCGATATATTGCGATATTGGAGAGTCATATNTTGCTTCAAGCCAAAGTGTTGCCATATATCGGACTTAGCCTTCTTATTAGGAATGATGCTGAAGCTTTCGTCCTTTTCCTCCGCCATCTTTCCCGCGACTACTTTCGTTTTCGCTCGCACATGCGTGTTTACTGTAAACACACTACCGCTTCCGGGACAAAAAACAAAAACGTCGAGAAAGCGCCTACGACTACTTAGCTGGTTTTATTGTAATTTGATCGTAATGTGAATGAAAAATTTCAAAATAATTCATGGAGAATAAATATCGAAAATACCGGTATATGGAAAATCGTATTGCAATACATATCGTTTCTCAGCTGTATCACAATATACCGGTATACCGGTATATCGTTACACCCCTACCTATGATAGTGGAAATGTTTCAAGTGTTAAATGTTTGATAATATATTTTAAGAAATTAATAGTTGTGAAAATGGTCTCATGTATAGTACAATTATATTTATTGTTAACTAATACTAATGGAGTTAATGGATGCAGTGCTATTAAATTTCCTCATATGAATGACCTTGACCTATTTCGGAGGTCACATATGTTCGAATATTCAAGCAACATTTTCTAAACAACCATTAGGTCAATATTCATGATACTTGGTATGTTATGCAGATCTTCGATGTTGTGTTTTGGTTTAATTTCAGCTTTGAGCATTTGCCAGAGTCTAAGGTTTATATGAGTTGTAAGGAGTAAAAAGAATCTAGTTTGTAAGCCCAGGGTTCTGATATTTGGCCAGTACTGGTTTGTACCTAGGATGGAGCAATATAAACATGAGTATGCTACCATGATAATCTCTTTGATATGGCCCCGCTCCTGGGGACTTGTTCCCAGGTCATTGCATGGAAAACATTTAGATCCCAAACCTAGGCCTACAAACAAATTTCTCCTTTTAATGAAAATATTTGGCTATGACTGCTTAAATATCAAGGTTAGCAATACAAACCTGGGCCTTGTTTCTTTCAAAGATACTCTGAAAGCAAACACAAATACTGTGTACCAGTAACAGTATCTGTCTACAAAGTCTGAACTGTATGCTACCTTACTGTGAATTTATTATCCTGACAAATAGATACTTGTTTAGAAGCTTTCACTTGAACTTGTGACCTAAGAACACACAGGTCATTTGAATTGTGACCTTACAAGGTCCTAAAATGTGCACACTTCCTGGTTTCAAAATGCTCTAAAATGCTGTTTTTTGCTCCAGCAAGATATTTGGTTTGGCCTTTGATCTAGATAGGATCCAAAACTGCAGTGATGGTTTACATGTACTGTATTTGGAGATGAAGATGAAACTTCAGTGAAAAAATACCATGAAAATGTATTGGTGGCAAACGAAAAGAGGGTCATTATATCTAGGTTCTACTTTATATGAATAGGAAGGAATCCAAGATAAGACACAAAAAAACTGGAAGAAATTTGATCTTTTATTCACTGGTCACAGAATTTACACTCGACATAATTAAAACCGTTGTCGTATAGATGACCTTGACAAGGTCATCAACATGACATGATATACCAGTCTCCATGAAACTAGTTGGACCATCGAACACTTCCGATAGAATAAGTCAAAGTGTTCATTATAGCGCCAGCTCACCATTCTTTTGTAGGCTCAATGACTGACACCATTGTTACCGGATGTGCACTACTAGAAAACACCTTCATGTTGATATTTTTAACTGGGATGTCATTATAAAAAAGCAAGCTACATCTTAAGACCTTGAAGCAAAAGGCAAAAAAGGCTAGTAGGGAAGTAAATACCCGAAATGCAAAGATATCTACAGCAAACAAATTGGTCTGGCAAATACATGTTCCGTCAGACAAAGGTGCAGGATCAGTAGGGCAGAATGTCTGACAACTGTCTCTACAGTTTCATGGTGACTGGTTTACCATTGATGACCTCAACACATCCCAATCGGCGACAGCCATTAAAATCCTTTCAAACATTGATAAATCACATTATAATTAATCATCCACTTTGTATCCTTCATTCATGATTTAACTTCTAAACTTTCAGAAATATGTAAGTATTTATTTAGAAAGAAATGTTTCCATTAATCTACAGGTAGATACAACTATTAATGCTTTGCTGATTATATGTCTATAAAACTCTATATAATGAAGCTTAACGTTCATAGAAAAGATTAGTTACAAATATTTTCCCCAACAACAATTCAATTTAAATATTTTTTGTTTACTTGTAATTACATGTACATGCTATTACAGAGTAACACAAAACATTATATCAAACTGCCTGTTTCGTAATATATTTATGTTCAAGTCATGTTCATGTTTGATTTTCTTTATTGTCCACTTAACAAAGTTCAGGTGTCATCACAACATCCATCATATCTATAACACACAAAACATAATTGTTTGTAGCCCTTGTTGACCTGCAAACCTTGGAATTAGTACAACACTACAGATTATATCTGTTACTAAGCACACTCATCCAAATGTCTATGTCGGTCTGAAGTTCATCACAGAATCAAAGTCCTTATCACTCAAGTTCAACATAAGGTTTCCAGCGTTCAAGTAAACTCTGTTTTGAGAAGCAGCAACCTGTTGAGAAACAATTTTGAAAGTTTTAACAAGGAAATCTATGAAGGGTAGTTAGAAATGCTTTTCAGTGTAAAAGCAACTGAAATGGAGGTAGCATGGAACATACAGTGAACCATTGACTAAATTGGAGTTTCTGCTACATACAACAATATATATATATCCCCTGATGAACCTCTAAGAGGTGAAAGCGCTAGGAAGGTACTAAGAAACTCTTTTCTCCCATCCTTCACAGGTGTCTCCCGTTTTAGCTGGGAAAGATTAAGTCTTGGGTAAGACAACCAAAAAACATCACCCCTCGGGTTGGAGATTTCTCTGTCAAACCCTCAGGGTAGGGGAAGATTCTATTAGTAATTTGTTTTTTATACATATATATATTTGCACATTTAAGGATCCCTGTCCCACTGCACTGCGATTTTGACAGTTATGGCCCATTAACTTTCCTTTGGATATAACTGTAGTACATTTGATCTAGTACTCTTCCGTTGACAAGGTAGCTCAATCGGTTACAGCAATAGTATAATATTAACAATAAATAAGTCAAGGGTTCGAATCCAGGTCTAGTCCCTCTGGAAGTTTTACAATCAGAACATTTTCACTTTTATTATTCCTCATAAAAAACTCACAAGGTATGGTTTTCTTTTCAGAAATGATTTATCAAGGCTAAAGTAATGCTGGGAAAGGCAGTTTCTGATACTGAGTTAACAGTTTTTGGCAATGGTAGGGGTATCCTTAGATATTGATTTGTTTTTCTTCACAGATTCAACCTTTCAAGGAAAGGTCCCTAAAAGGTGAAAAAAAATCCATCACAAGCATGCACATAACAAGACTTGCAACGTTTTTTATTTTCAAAAATATAACAAAGAAACACACAGATGTTTCTTCATCAAGGTAAACACAGGTGTTTCTTTATTGAGCCATATGAGAGATAGAATTTTTTGATGACTTACCGTTTTGGAAATACTTTGGGCAGCACGGATCTTCCTCAGTTTAAGATAGCCTGGGTTTGTGGACATAGCCTCTCCAATGTACACAAATGTTAAGGAAAACCAAATGCATCTGTTTACAATGAGATATTTACTTGAGTTTCTTCAGTTATTCATTGATTGGTTTAACTCAATATTTCATCTAGTTCAGTAACAGACAAACATCGTTATTACTAGACAATAAATATTCACAATATATTAAGTTCCTACTTTTTTGTTACACAAGTCTGTCATCAGATTACTAAAGATAGATATCATTGGTCACTGTGACCATGAAAAAAGTCACCCCACCCTGCCCTCCCGCCCCTTTCTGTCTGCCGGGAAAAAGGCCCTGGGACATATCTAAGCCCTGAGTCGATAATTCCTGGCCCCCACTCTATGTCCGGCCTTACAACAAGCGTGCAATCTCAGTCACGCCTATCAAGATTACAGACAATGGTAAAATACTCTGGTTTGTCTCCAGCTGACCTCTGACCTCTAATTCTCATCACCTGACAGACTTGTGCTAACTACCCTTATAGACTATTACTTTGTATGTCACATAATAACACAACAATAAACTCACCACTGGTACTCCATACAGTATAACCTTGATATAGTGCCCCTTGTTCCACTGGCCACCTTGTTTACCGCCAAAATATTTTAATGTCCCTTTTTCTTACTTTCTTAATAATTCAATTACACATTTCCTTCAATCTATCACCAAACCCCTTTATAATGCCAAAATAATGTGGCTTTATAATGAGGTTTTTCTGTACATTGTATTTTACCACTTGCCTCCTATAGTCACTTAATTTTTGTAAAATATTGCTCTACTGTCAATTAGCAAGGATGATCAATTAACAAATATGTTGTTCCCCAAATACTTATTAAAAAAAAAGTTTATAAAATAATATCTTATGGATCCTTCTGTGAATTTCAATCCTTGCAAAGCAAGAGTATTTAAAGAAAAATAAATAGGTTTGTAAATAAGATGATATAATTTATGAGGACAGCAAAATTCCTTGATTCTGACATGGGTTTCAACATACGTATTAAACTGATAAAATCTTACCTTTTTTTTACTGTTTATAACAAGACATACATTCCTAATATGAAAGATGAAAGAATTTCTCATTCTTCATATTTCACATAAAGGAAATTATAAATTTGTCAACATTTTGTTAGTATCTTAAATGAGTGTCCCTTTCATATTATAGATATTAAGAGTAAACCTCATCAACTGGAAACAAATTTGTGAAAATATTTATCACATTCATACAAAGAACGTAAATATTTATTTGTGAAAAATAGTTTTTCTCTGACCATCAAGTCTTCAAAGACACATCTTGAATTCATATTTGTCATCTTCAATGTGACATCCCAACTCCATATTGAAGTCAAAATAAAGGTATTAAATACACAAGAAGGAAAGCATGTGTTCACTGCATACGCAGTAGTCAGGTGATAAAAGGATATAAGTTTGGCGGCCTCAGCTTCTCCAGTTGCCTGGACGATCTTCTGTTGTTTCTCCTGCTTTGCTTTCTCCACAATAAACTGTGCCCTCTGAGCTTCTTGTTGTGCTACCTAATAGGGAAAAATAAAAATGACAAACTCACTAAATATAAATTCCAAACAAATTACTTTTTTTCACTGCTATCAAGTATCTAATAGCAGGGATTGTTTGGTGGCGCAGTGTATAACATACTCGCCCTTCACCAAGGCCAACACTCTTAGAATGAACAAACACAGACCAATTTTATCATAATTACCGTTTGTAATGAAGCATAGATTGAAAAGGCATTGTTTGGAAACATTTTCACCAAAGATAACATATAAGTTGTAATAATATGTTTCATATTTGTTGTAAAATAAACGAAGTTTATGTTAAGTATCTTATTCCATATTCTTCATCAGGTGAACCTATTAAATAGGGGTGTAACGATATACCGGTATACCGGTATATTGTGATACAGCTGAGAAACGATATGTATTGCAATACGATTTTCCATATACCGGTATTTTCGATATTTATTCTCCATGAATTATTTTGAAATTTTTCATTCACATTACGATCAAATTACAATAAAACCAGCTAAGTAGTCGTAGGCGCTTTCTCGACGTTTTTGTTTTTTGTCCCGGAAGCGGTAGTGTGTTTACAGTAAACACGCATGTGCGAGCGAAAACGAAAGTAGTCGCGGGAAAGATGGCGGAGGAAAAGGACGAAAGCTTCAGCATCATTCCTAATAAGAAGGCTAAGTCCGATATATGGCAACACTTTGGCTTGAAGCAAGCAATTAATGCATATAAATTAAACAGGATTGTTTGTTGTTGTAAATGAGTACTAGGTCAACACAATATTACACTTATTTCAGGTACTTACCTTTTCGTTTTGACAGTTTCTGCTATTTCTGTGTATCGCAATACGTATCGCAATATGACTCTCCAATATCGCAATATATCGCAATATGGGTTTTGCTGTATCGTTACACCCCTACTATTAAAGAACTTATTATACTATTTATTACCAATCCTTTATATTACATCAAACGCAAATACGAAAAGTTGAGTGTTGAAGGAATCTTGTTTTGGTAAAGAAATATATTTATGTACAAACAAAAAGTGGAAATTGTATCATTACAAACCACAATATTTCCCTGGGCAAAAATTATTAAAAATGTCTTCTTCATTTTTTTTTATGTCCCCCTTTCCTTTCTTTAAATTAGCATTTTCAGTGATGCCTTTTCAAGGCAAACACTCTAATTTTAGTACCTTTTTGGGCAACCCGTAACATACAGGGCTTTTTCAAGTCAAACTATGAGCCAAAGCCAAAATGAAGGGAGACAAATCTGGTATACCTGTTTTGCCTCAACGGCAGCTGTGTATTCCTTGCCGAAGCTGAGCTCTGTAATGGACACATCGTCGAGGATGAGATGGAAGTCTCTGGCACGATCGAGCAGCTCTTGTCGTATGAGCATACTGACTTGTTGACGCTGTGTGATAAGCTGTGAGGCATTGAACTTGGCAACCACAGACTTTAGAACCTGTCCAAAACAATCAAGAGGTCTTAAGTAATTCTTCAAAAATACTTTTCAAAACTAAACTAGACGAGCTCATTTGGATTCTGAGAGTATGAAAACAGATTTACCTTTACTGGTGTTAAATTACTTTAAACAGTGATAATGGAGATGTAGAGAGTTCCAAAATCAACTAGATTTTCAAAAAATTATACAGCCTTTTCATATTTAAAGATACTTCTGAATTTGCCATTCAAGGACTTTCACAGAATTTTGCAATGATACAGAGAGGAGCAGAAGTCTTTTGAAATTAAAACAAAATACAAATATTATAAATAGGATTCCAAATTTTTAAAAGTTCAAGGACATTTCAGTAGCGTTACCTCGTTACATATAGATGGCAGCACACGTTCGTCATAATCCTGTCCCAGCTGTCGATAAATGTGTGGTAAGAAGTTTTGGTCTGGGCGGGACAATACTCGCAGGGAGATATTCACCATCTGTAAATCTGTCAAAATAGAAAATATTATGTTATTAGTGTACATAAGGTATTTAACGAGATATTCAAAACCTAAAACTGTAATCTGATGAATATGACATGATATACTGGGATTTGTTTTATCCCATCCATCTTTCGTCCTTCGCAGGTAAAATGATTCCATATTCGACTCAGAATGAAATTCGCCTTTCATATTTAGTAGCTATGTATATTATGCTGTTTATTAATGTTCACTGTAATGATCCATTCGCCTTCGTTAAAAAAAGGTGAAATTTCATCTGCGGCAAAAAATTCTGAGTATACAGTAATGAGTATGATAACATTCGGCCCCCATTTCAATTTCTTTTAATTTTTCGCCATATGTATGTAGGGTACTTACAATTAGTCATTTTAACAGTGAAGTCTTCCTGTGAAGCCTTTCTCAATTGTACATAATGATGCATTTCAATTTAAATGCTAGGTACCACAAGATATAATTTGCCTACCTTTATGGCTCTTATAAAATATTAATAAAATTTCAACAATTACAAACAAAATTTATCAACTCATTTCAATCACTCAGCCTCTTGTATGCCATGTTAAAAACACACAGGGGTCTTATGCAAGAAGAAAGTGGTTTAGACTTTACCTTTGCTACCAGTTGGTGAGGAAAGCTTCCGTGGCCTGGCTCTGATGTCGTAGATAATGGGATACTGGAACCAGGGTACTCTGTAAACAGTGACCAACAGGTAACTATTAATACAGCTCTGCTGTAGATCATTCTGTGAATAATTTATATACCATAAATTATTGTGATATATTTCACATAAATTACTTATTATTATCATCGTTATTATTATCTGGTAGTTCAAAAAATCACAATTGTTTATTCCTTAAGGACTATTTTTTGTCGATAATAGTCCCATTTCCTGACAGATGAAATCAACTGTACATACATATATTTGACTATTTGTATAAATCACAAAATGATACAAAAAGGGCCTTCTTAAATCGACATTAAAAAGCTATGAATTAATATTTTTTAAATAAAACAGTTTTTACGCTACATCACAGTAGTTTCTCTTGATGCTATATATATGCAAACCTAAAAATATATATGGTTATTATAATAATTATTAATTTATAATAATAATTTGAGGTTCCTGGTAACCATCCTGGATATCCAGGGGTTACATTCACTTTCGTTCTCTACACCCCTGAAATATGTCATAGAAAAATTAAAGGCACAAAGCTAGCTGTTTGATTGGTCTCGGGTAAGAAAATCTGACCAATCGCTAGGCTGATACTTGTCCTTTGAAGATTACAAAGGAGAGACACCCGACTTCAAAGCCTGTCAATTTTTACCGTTATGTGGCCGCAAGATTCTTTCTATGAATCGATGTATATCAAAGGATCGATCTAGTCTTCTAGTCTCATCAACAAGGTGGCGTACATTGAGCCTTCAATTTTGCTATGACATATTCCAGGGGTGCAGAGAGCGAAAGTGAGCGCATCCCCTGGATATCAAGGATACTTTATCACAACCTAGGTCGTCTCAAAGCGGTTCACAAATTATTATCTGTGGTTATAGGGCCTTTGCAACCAGCAAATATCTTTCTCAACTCCCTGGGGAGCATACACCCGGTGCTACCATTTCGGCGCTCACAACCTAGATGTATATACCTACCTGAAATGGAGCCCCTCTGGGTAGACATTTTGCTGTACCCCACTTATCCGGCTATAGATTATAGATCTGTGACCACCATCAACTGCAATATAGACAGTATAGTATTACAATTTTACCAGTGAAATATTAAAAAATATTTATTCTATATACCAGTTCGGGATATTTTTCACTAGTGAGCATTTGTTAACAGATGATTCGAGTGATTGTAAGATCAATTTTCAGTAAAAATGCCACCCCTAATGATGAAAATGAATGAGGAGACTTTTCGCATGTTCATGAGGTTGACGTCAACCACGTGCCGAAACCAGTGGTGTGATTGGCTGGAAGCCTAAAATAACTAGCCAACCAACACATGTTTGGAATGTTGCTGATGTCAACCTCATGACACAAAAAGAGGCTCTATGACTGCGAAAAACTCGTAAATGGTGTGTTTTTGGAGGAAACAGAGATCTTGTCCGCAGAAGGAGAATACGTTTAAAGTGCATAACTGCATTAAGTTTTTTTGGAAAAGAAAAAAACATCTTTCCAACGGTACTGAGCATTTTTTCGTACACCAATAAGAAATGTGTTTTTTGATGCAAGAAAGTTAATTGGGGTTGATTTTTTGACATCGAGAGCTTTCTTCTCGTAGATTATCAAATTAGGGGCGACATTTTTACCAAAAATTAATCTAAATCGGGGGAAACCCCGTAAAATAAAGAAGAAGAAACGAGTAAAACAACTCTTAAACAGTAAAAACCTTAGTTTAGGTCCAAATATACAGTAAAACCCCACTTCCTCGAACTTGGTTTACTCGAATACCCCTTATTCGTCGAACAGTTTGTTTGGTCCCGACCGATTTCGTACATATTCTTTGTAAAGTAACCCTGGATTAGTCGAACCGTTAATCCTTGAATACTCCTATTCCTCGAACAAAAAAAACTTTCCCGGACTCTTCATGGTCATAGTATTAATCCTATCTACTCGTCGAACAGATGTGACCGGTCACCCCTGACAGATATCTTACCTGTGTATCACAGGTACCGGCACTGTCGTCAACATGTCTTGAAACTATGTCAAAACGACAAGAACGTTATCCATGCAGGTTTTAATTTATTTCCTTTAATACCGGTGGCTTAATATTTTCATTGTTTAGCTATTTTAAATCTTATTAAATGCTATCATCTTTATTAAACTTCTTTTTTCTTCAATCATCTACTATCTGCGATTGTTGCAGTTCTTGTACTGTCTTGTTAATTGTCCCACCAGAAAAATCATTAGCCCCGGTTTCGTCAAACACCATGTGTTCCTCGAACTTTTGATCTGGACCCTACGAATTCGAGTAAACAGGGTTTCTGTAGCTGTAACAAATTATCATGTCCTAGCTGCGATAACGTTGCTTTTTGACGACGAGAGATTTTTTTTTATATATTGCGTCGTCAGAGCTACGAAGCGGTCCTATGCCAACTAATGGAGCAAAATCAAAAGTGTTTATCTGTAAGATTACATATAATTCACGCCTCATATGAGTATAATGTTATCAAAATATTGCATAATTGTTGAAAAAACGAATCCTTACCCATGCAAAAACTCTTTTACGAAATTAACAAAGTCCGTCTTGGGGAAAAAAATAGAAACAACCTCCATGACAGATCATGCGTGATGTTATCTCAATTATCCTTTCTATATATGGCCTGCATGGCCAAATATAGTATTACTACTGATGCCGCCATGTTTACTACAATTTCCATATTGGGTCATGACACCCATATTTGGACGTCTGACCTATATCGGAAGAGAGACGAACTTTCCAACATGGCGGTCAATTCAGATTTCGATTACGCTTGCTACGTTAACTTGATAATTTAACGACATTTTAGGCAGAGGTAAACTTCAAGTTGTGCAGGATATAAACAGAAATAGTTCATACTAAAACCTTGTTTATGGATGCGGACCAATGTGCTGTCAATTAATTCTAAAAGCGCCCCGGTGTGATTCACACCGGGCTTGCTCCATTACAAGGCATGGGATCGATTTAATACCCGGCCGGGACAGAGGAGGCCGGGTATTAATATTAGTACTAATCATGTCCCTGTGGCTCTAACAACTGACTCGCCTGTCACTGCGCTGTCGAACCATGGCGTACCCTTACTCTTAACACTGACTTAGATCTAATATAATTCTGTGCTCTTAACAAAATGAAGCAGATTTCACTACTCTTTTCACTTGTCTATATGGAAGTAGTTTTCACAACGCAATACGTTTATATTGACTAATTTTTCTGATGCAATTGCAAGTACATCATCTGTGTGGGATTGTAAAGCTTTAAACAGAAGCGTATGACTGACGTAAGAATGCCTACTTAACAACCTTCTAGCAGCACACTTGTTTGTTAACTTCACCTTTTCATTGATTAGGTAACCGGCATTAATTTGAATCCTGGTTTAACAAAATAACCTAACTCGTCACATTATATAAACAATACTAAATAATTTGGACGAGTTCGTCTATGTGCTAAAACGTTTGCGTCAACTAAGATTACCTGTGTAAAACGAGTGTGTTAGACCGTAAATTGTACCACCGGCTAACGCAAGGAGTCCTATGCCTGCTTTAAGACCCTTGCCACCAGGCGCCATCTTTTGTGCATCCTTTATAAAATTCATTTTTATCTACAAGGTGTAAATTTCTACAATGACCTCGGAATCCACGTGTGGTGAAGTCTCGTCCTTCGCGTGTTTTTACAAGTCAATTCGTCCTACATTTTAAGGTGATGCACAACTGGACGAGTTTACTTCGAATTTTTACTATTCCCATGCACATAAACGCTTCTCACAGTCGAGAACTTGCATAACCGATCTTCAAAGCGTTTGGTCGAAACGATATTGTAACAAAATGGCACTGCAGATGTTCAGGCGTAGTGTCTCTGTCATTCGCCATTCTGTGCGGGCGTTATCACGGTTAACAATAACCCCACCAACTCAACCTGTTGCACTGGATAAATTTTCATTGTTAAAGTAAGAATCGTGTAGACATTATGACGCAGTTGCTTTTATTTTTATTTTTTATTTTTATCAGGTCCAGTACACCTTATAGCTGTAAAGACCTATACTAGCTCTATTCTGTCTTTGCGTATTGCAGAGTTATCTTCTCTTGTGAGCAGGTATTGATTGTTACGTCATTGGTTTGTGTGTGAAAATTACGTCGTTTTCTCAAAAATTGATGACGTTACTCTCACAAACAAATGACGTAACAATCAATACCTGCTCCAAAAACAAATCTTTTTTTTTTTTTGACAGATGGGATATAAATATGGTTGTTCTCTGTTACATGTCTAAAATGATTGGGATAGACAGCTATATAGTTTAGGTAATACATTTTATTTTTCATTTTAATTTTTTACAAAGTTAATATGGTAGAGAAATCTTGACTTTAACGATGCTTTAAACTTGACAACAGAAGTTTAATATAGGCACAAAAATTAGGTTTGGTAGGGTAACCAGCATCCTCGATGCTCCCCGACCTGGACTATGTCATAGTAAACTTGAAGGCTCAGTGTGCGCCACCTTGTGGACGAGACCAGAAAACTAGTTTGATCCTTTAATTTGATGTACTAGCTACATCAAAAGAATCTCACAGTCATGTAATGGTAAAATTTACTGACTTTGAAGTCAGTTGTTGCTATACTCTGTAATCTTCAAAAATTGGTATCAGCCTAGTGATTGGTCAGGTGTTTTTACCTGAGACCAATCAAATAGCTAGACGCGTGCCTTCAATTTTACTATGACATATTCCAGGGGTGGAGAGAGCAAAAGTGAGCGTAACCCCTGGATAACGAGGAAGGGCAACCAAAATTTTCACAAACAGCATTTATTTTATATGCCCAGTATGAAGCTTATTTAAAGTCGCATTCATTTAAAAGCAAATTTTAGCTCCTGTGAGCTATTATTTTGACAATTTACAAAAATTACAAACACAAGTTTTAGATATCAATATAACAACATAAACCCCTACCTAAAAGTCCACAATACTTCTGTAATTATTCAACACAATTCATGAACATGATTAGTCGTATTAATGTGAATGTTAAAAACACTCGTGAGTACAAGTGTGTACCCACTTGATGTTGCGTGTTCTCTGGTTTTTGTGATACTGGATGTTTACGATGTTTGTGCATATGCCGAGTGTGGTGAGCGTTGAAAAGTTTTTGCTTGACCTATAGAATGGACAGATGCTAGGGATAAAAACACCAATTTAGTTTTGTCTTTATTGATAGGTTGGTTTGTGTAAATGTTATTTAAACGTTAACTAACCATGAAACCATAGAACTCAAGGCTACATATAATCACACACATACTGTAAAAGCATAATATTTCGTTGGGGATTTTATTTAGTTTATTACGCTGTTTTATAAAAACCACGAAATATAATCCCAACGAAATTTTAAACTCACGAAATATAAACTAAATGAAAATATTAAATAAACTTTTTTATTTTTTACTAATCCATGGTGTATTTACATTTAGACACCAGTCATGATTAATGGTGTAATTATCATCACAGGCACAGGGATAAACACTTATAACAACAGCGTGTCAATCAAGCTTTGTATTTGTATTAACACAGTTATAATTGTTACATAGGTATAACGTCAGCATCTTAAGAACTACTGGCAAGGTACATGTACGTCTATGTGAAAGGTAAAAATATGACAGTATATATGTACACTGCAGAAAAAATGGTGGAACTCTACTCGAAAGTACGTTCACTATTCCTGCTTTTTATGTAATTTACAGATCATATTATTATATGTATGTCACATATTTATATCGATTTGTATTACAGATGTGGTTCCTGCCGTAACTTCCATGTATCTGTTAAAAGGCCAGATCTGATGGAATTTTTTGATTCAAAAGATAATTGGGGAGAAGAAAATATAAAAACAGGTATGTTGTAAGTACACAGACATATGTGGTACCCTTTTAGCTTATAGCCTTGAACTAAGTATGTCATAAATACCTTGACAAGGAAAGTAACTCCAACACAGGAAAAAACCATTTTATTTCATGACTAAAACAGTTGTTTTCTTTCCTTTATCCGTTACTTCTTACACTGGTTGTAATATAATTTGAATCATTTCCTTTTTACAGGTCGACCCTGGAAGATGGAAGAATTAAGAATAAAAAGTAACTCCGATCTACATAAATTATGGTATGTATACACATAACACATAGAAATTAATACTATTGCAGTAGTTGAATCTAAATTTTCTGACTTTAATATCAAAGAGAAATATAGATCTTAAGTTAGGTAGTGCACAAATGACATCTATAAATAGTTTGATAAATCCATGTAGATTATCATTATCACATAAAAAAGTGTTGTCTTCCTTGTTATATAATCACTAAAAAAACATATTTCGAAGCAAAACGAAAACATTAAAACTTTTCTGAGTTATCTGAAATTATGCAGTGTGTACAATATATATGATAAAATTGTGTTGGAGATATGTTTAAACCCTGGCCGCCACAAACAGTTTATTTGCCCTGTCCATCATCTGTTGTTATATATCTTTTGGTTGCCAGTAATAAGTTGTGTCCCCCCCCCTTCCCCCATACAATAATCAATACATTGTTTGGATCAAATGTCAAGGTTAGAGTATTGGAATCAAAAGGTCAGAGGTTAAGGTCAATGATTCAGTGTGTGAAAATAAATTCCAAAGTTTTAGACAGAGTATCTTTCCATCAAGGACCACAAAACTTCACAGGGTAACTATACCCATGGACTGAACAGTAACCTTGTACATTTTGTGGTTTGAAGGTGAAAGTCTCATTAACTGATGTTGGTGTTTGAAAAGATTTCCCTGTGGAACAATTGTATTTATTCTGTCAAATTTGCAGGCTTAGTCTTTTTTTAGTTTATTTTGCCGGGTATGTGCTGTTGAAGGAGAGAAACATGTATTCTGTTTATTTTGCCAGGTATGTGCTGTTGAAGGAGAGAAACATGTTGCTGACCATGAGACACGAGTACAGACAGGAGTGTATACTGTTCCCTAACCCAGAGCGAATAGACAAGGTACACTGACTGGAATTCACTTTTGAGATGTTATTGAATATCATTGAACTATTATTTTGTGTTTCTAATGTTTGTTGGGAAATTATTGATGGGCAAATCATTATGTCTTTGCCCATTAGCTAAAATTAATATACAATGTATGTATCTATCTTTTATAATGGCGATACATTGTAACATTGTGATACAGGGGATTACGTCTTATTAGCTCACCTGGCCCGAAGCATATGTTTTTATGTTTCTTATGCCGTACTGTGGCGTCTGTCGTCCGTCCGTCAACTTTTTCTTTTGAACGACTTCTTTTGCAGAACTAGAGGACCTAGGGTCATGATATTTGGCTAATAGGTACCTTGGATGGAGTGCTATAAAGTTTCCTCATAAAAATGACCTTGACCTACTTTCAAAGTCACAGGGGTCAAATATGTTAAAAACTTCAAACAACAATACCCTAAGAACCATTTGGACTAGAGTAATGATTCTTGAGTATGTCATGAAGACCAGCATTGCGATTTTTTTTCTTTATTACAGTAATGAGGACAAAGATCAACTTTAAGTGCTGGGGGGGGGGGCAATAGTAAACATGGGTTAAAAGCCTTAACAATCTTCTTCTCAAGTTCCATAAGGCCAAGGGTCATGATATTTGGCCAGTAGTTTCCTCATTAAAATGACATTGACCTAGTTTCAAGGTCACAGGGGTCAAATATGTTACAAACTTAAAACAATGATATCCTAACAAGCATTTGGTCTAGAGTCATGATTCTCAGGTATGTTATGTAGACCAGCTGTGAATTGTTTGCTTAATGACAGTAATGAGGTCAAATGTCAACTTTAAGTGCTTTAAGGTCAACATGGGTTTAAATGTTTAAAATAAAAATTTGAGAAATTTCAAACAACAATATGTTAAGAAGCGTTTAAGTGATGTTAAAATATCTTGTGTTCTACAGTAGTTACCAAACTTGGTCTGAAGTTAACTATTCCATCTTTGCGTATTGCAGAGTTATCTTCTCTTGGGAGCAGGTGTTGATTGTTACGTCATTGGTTTGTGCGAGAAAATCACGTCGTTTTCTCAAAAATTGATGACGTTACTCTCACCAACAAGTGATGTAACAATCAATACCTGCTCCCAAGAGAAGATAACTCGGCAATACGCAAAGACGGAATATGTCAGTGTCATGTAACAAAAGAAACAGGTGAGCGATACAGGCCCTCTGGGCCTCTTGTTAAAAATGTAGACACAGTAACATGAAATCATCTTAAGATGGGATAGAACAATTCAGCTATGTTCCTTCACACTTGTACACATGTATTTACAAATTCATTGTCATTGTTGCTATATATACTAATTGGCTGTCAAACTTCACTTCTTGCAAGTAGCCCATATTTCGTACATAACCATTTTTGCGTACTGAAAATACATTGTAACATTACTATATAAATATTATGGTAACAAATTTTTCAGATTTATATCCACATATTTCAACCTTATTGGTTCCTTTGCATTATTTAACAGGTGGAAGAAAGCATGGAAAACCTGATGAATATTATCAAAGAGCGAGATAATGCACATAGCTTACTGGAAACAGGGAAGTCAGTGGAACGAGAGAAGGTGGAAGCTCTTGACAGTTTCGGAAGGCCATACATGAAGAGGCAAACAGAACATGCGTTGCCCCAAAGGAACATCGCTGGAAAAAGGATGTTTTTATTGACACGGGATCCATGGATGAGAAAAAGTCAACGTCTTCTTCGTGAAAAATACCTGAAAACTAGACACCGTGAAAGGAAGCGTGAGTTAAGATATATTAGAAGAACTAGAGAAAGATTCCCCGATGCTACAGAGGAGGACATTGAACATGGCTTGGAGCGTGAATCCGCTAGGCAAAAACAAGGATTTTATGATGTGTGACCATATTAGCTGTACATTTTTCTTTTTGCAAGATTAAGTTCCAAACGACTTATTTGTGAGAAAAATCACCATCGTAGGTGGAAACATGTCTATTGAATAAATGAGTGTGAATGAGCATTTGTGAAGCATTTATTTTTGTGTCAACTTTTGTCAAAAATGGATAATAAATATGTATCCCTCATTGTATTCATGGGAAGCCTACAGTAATAAATGTACCTCATTCTGAAGTAAAGTATTATGCTGGCATTGAGTTGAATTGACGATGTGACCTTGCTTTTCTATCTCTAACATCTGCATCCTACTTTTCTGCAAGTTTAGTTTTCTGTAAGAGAATTTCATAAAATAAAAAAACAACAGCAGTAGGTGTGTACCTGACAATTTATAGTGAAAACCCCCCCAGCTTGAGATGATTTCAATTGAAAACACATATTAAAGGGTCTTTGTTGGAAGATTTTGTAACTCCACACTTTATGCATATATGTATGAGCATTTGACTTTTTATTAATCATTTAGGCTTCCCTTTTAGTCTGGGCCATTCACTCAGATCCAGAACCTTACATCGTGACCAAGACTCCTTGTTTTTTACAAGTTATTCAATTGTATTAAAAACATCTTAATAACCTCTTCTGAAAAACCAAAAGGCCTAGGGTGATGATATTTGGATAGTAACATGCATGGTGAAAGTCGATCATGTTTGTTCATATGAATGACCTTAACCCATATTGGAGGTCATAGGGGTCAGATATGTTTAAATATTTGAACAACTTCTCATGAATATAAAAGGCAAAAGATGATGATATTTGGCCAGTCACATGCTGGGATAAAGGACTGACAAGTAATTTGAGAAATATCTCAAAAACCCTTGTATTGACATGGAGGATGACCCTTTGTCATTTTGGTAAACAAACTCTCTCCAATACCCTATTCTGTCAAAACTAGCTATCAAGTATTTGACTATCCCATCATCTTCAGCTACTATTCAGAAACTATTCAGTATAGCCAGGAAGATATTCAGCCCAGACAGATGCCGTTTAAATGTCGAAACTTTTGAACATCTGATGATGATAAAATGCAATATGCATGTTTACATATGTAGTGTAAGCTGTCTGAGCAGAACATCTTCCCAGAGTTGAGTACATGTACATACCAATGCGAGTGTATACCTACAATGTATGTATTGATGTAAATTCCCTGTATGAAACACAAACAACAGGTTAATAACAAATAAAGGTAAATATGTCATTTAAACTTGTCTTTTTATTGGCTTGAATTAAAAAAATATACCCAGAATATTAAATAAAAGTAATGTGTAATGGTAATTAATTACATTAAGAAAACCATGTAATGCTGTGTAATTTAATTAATTACATTGCCAATGTAATTGCCCCATGCCTGCACAAGTTTGTTCAAATGAATGACCTTGACACATTCAAGGTCACAGGGGTCATATACGATAAAAAAAATTCAAACAATTTCTTCTGAATAACAAAAATGACTTTGGTGATGATAATTGGCCTGTGGCATGCTGGGGTGTTCAAATGAATTGCTTATGTTCAAGGTCACATGGGTCTTACATGTGAAACGTTTTAAAACGTCTTCTTCTGAATAACCTAATGGCCTTATGTGGTGATGTTTGTCTAGTAACATGGTTTGTGGAAGTCCATCATGTTTGTTGAAATTAATGACCTTCGCCCATATTAAAGGTTACAGAGGTCAAATATATTAAAATTATTTAGTCAATTTCCCCTGAATAACCAATGAGGCTAGGGTGATGCTATTTGGTCAGTAACACACTCAGTTGAAGAGCTATCAACTATGTTCAAATGAATTACCTTCACCCATATTCAAGGTCACTGGGGTGAAACATGTTAAAAACGTGAGTTAAAAATGTTAAAATTCAAATCATTTAAACAAGTTAGTCTGAATAACCAAAAGGCCTAGGATGGTGACAAGTGGCCAGTTACAAGATCAGATAAGAGCTACAAGGTTTGTCAAAATGGATAAATTTCACAGGGGTAAAATGTGTTAAAACATTTAAACAATTGCTCCTGAATAACCAAATGCATAGGGTGGTGATACTTGGCCCGTAGCATGCTTATGTGTAGTCCGAATTATTCTGACGTTTGATTGACTTCTATTTATATCGGTCTGTCGTTCATCGACGACAGACCGATATAAAAAAAAGTCGATAAAACGTCAGAAAAATTCGTACTAGCTTATGTGAAGAGCTATCAACTTTGTTTATGTTAATAACCTTGATCCACTTTCGTGGTCACATGGTCAAATGTGTATAAACCTTTGAATTATCTTGTCATAATGAACAAAATGTCTATAGGGTGGTGATATTTGGTAAGTTGCATGCTGGGATAAAGTGCTATAAAGTTATAAAAAGTTTACACACATCATATTGAATTGAAGTTGTGATAAAATATGTATATTATGTACATGTATATTGATATTTGCATGTCATTATTAATGTTTTGATAATTGTTGTACAAAAACTAGATTTTACAAAAAATGGCAATTAAAATGATGCTGGTGGACAGCACATAGTACGTGTAATCTAGTAGAAGCGTCTAGTATCTTTAATGAATCTCTAAACCATCTACAATATACTTATATTCATATTGATATTGAGTTTTCGACATCCATAAAGAAAAGTCTGAGTATTTAATGGAATAATGTCATTAAGAGCAAAAATGGAGTTTGCCTTTGATTAGTATACAGAGTACAATGGAAGAAGAAGTGATCACAATCCTCAACAGGAGAACTACAAGTTCTGTGTTGTGGTAAATGATGCAATAGTTTATATCATGTGTGTTGTCTGTAGTTTATATGACAACTCAGACGATATATTTTTGTTTTATTCATTTTCATAGACAAGAACTAAACATTTGATTTTTTTCTGATTTTTATTTTGTCCTTCATGGTCTAGGTTGGTCCTTCTGGATGGTCCTAGATTTTGGTTCTGCCAAAAAAATGAACAGAAATATTAAATTTTGGAAGAGATATGAGCATTAGTTCAGGACAAGTAGCATTTTTAGGTCACCTGAGACAAAGTCTCAAGTGACCTATTGCGATCGCCTTTTGTCCGTCGTCGTCCGCCGTCCGTCGTGAGTCCGTAAACAATTTACATTTTCGACTTCTTCTCCAAAATCCCTGAACCAATTTCAATGAAATTTTGCAGGGACTTTCCATGGACAAAGGTCGACAAAAATAGTTGCCGTCTTAGTCCTACGCCTCCAGGGGCCTGAGGGGCGGGGCAAAAAAGGGGCGAATTGACTAAAATTTCAAAAATCTTCTTCTCCTAAACCCCTGAACCAATTGCATTGAAATTTTGCAGGGACCTTCCATGGACAAAGGTCGACAAAAATAGTTGCCGTTTTAGTCCTACGCCTCCAGGGGCCTGAGGGGCGGGGCAAAAAAGGGTCGAATTGACTAAAATTTCAAAAATCTTCTTCTCAAGACCCAGATATGGTAGAATCAAATACTCTTCATAGATGGAAGGGTCTTAAGGTGCTTTACTGAAATTGTGAATTTCTTGACCCTGGGGTCTCACGTTTCCCCCTGGGGAGGGGGTAAACTTTACTATAGTTTATATAGGGAAATCACATTTTGGACCAACATTTGTTTAATTTCCATTGGAAGTAATTCAATTTGGGTTAGCATTATCAGTATTAGGTAGCAGTTTGATAGTATGCACCTATGAGCCCTGACTGACCCCCAGGGGCTGATGGGTGGGGCCAAAAAGGGTTGAATTGACTGAAATTTCAAAAATCTTCTTCTCAAGACCCAGATATGGTAGAATCAAATACTCTTCATAGATGGAAGGGTCTTAAGGTGCTTTACCGAAATTGTGAATTTCTTGACCCTGGGGTCTCACGTTTCCCCCTGGGGAGGGGGTAAACTTTACTATAGTTTATATAAGGAAATCACATTTTGGACCAACATTTGTTTAATTTCCATTGGAAATAATTCAATTTGGGTTAGCATTATCAGTATTAGGTAGCAGTTTGATAATAAGCACATACCAGCTCTGACTGACCCCCAGGAGCTGATGGGTGGGGCCAAAAAGGGACGAATTTACTGAAATATAAAAAAATCTTCTTCTCAAGATCCAGATATGGTAGAATCAAATACTCTTCATAGATGGAAGGGTCTTAAGGT